CCCAGGGAGGCATAGGATATCATTCAAAGATCACATTAAAATCTCTTCACATGAGAATTTCATCGTACAGAGATTTGGAAGAATAACCCCTTTATGTACAGACCAAATGTACATGCATTCTGTCTGTGAATTGTAGGAAGGTATCAGGATCATAGAATCATAGAGTGGGTTCAGCTGTAAGGGATTCCAAGGGTCAAGTTCCAAGCCTCCTGCCGCAGGCTGTGCTAACAACTTCTATATCTGATAGTAGACCAGGTTGCCTGGAGCCCCATCCAACCTGGTCTTGAACACTTCCAGGGACTGAGCATCCAAAGCCTCTTTTGGCAGCCTGTTCCAGTACCTCACCACTCTCTTGGTAAAGAACTTACCCCTACATCCAATCTATAACTTTCCTCTTTGAGCTTAAAAGCATTCCCCCTTGTCCTATCACTATCTACCCAAGTAAAAACTTGACCCCCCTCATTTTTTATAATCCCCTTTTGAATACTGGAAGTCTGCAACAATGTCTCCTTGCAGCCTTCTCCAGGCTGAATGAGCCCAGCTCTCTCAGTATGTCTTCATATGGGAAGTGCTCCATTCCTCCAGTCATCTTCATGGCCCTCCTCTGGACCCTCTCCAACAGCTCCACATCTTCCCTGTACTGGAGGCCTGTATGGGAACTACTGAATCATGGCCTGAATCTCTGATTGACCACCTGAGGTGAGCAATGAGTCATCCGTGGGAGCACAGGTGAAGGCAATTCACCTGTGCTATGAGAAGGGGAGCCTTGCTCCACCTCTTCTAGATCCCATTTAAATGCTGACTATCACTGGTGAAGGATCTCTTTTGGAGATTGTTTCTTTTGGAGTTTTCTCAGCGAGCCCAGGATAAGGGTAAGCTTTCCATCCATTCTTCTTTAGCATGGTCACCTGTTTAGCCTAACTTTTTTGTATGTTTCTTAATTATAATGTCAGTATATTGATTGATCATACAGGGCCCCACACCTGGTTGCAGTATTCCAGATGGAGCATCATGAGGGCAGAGTACAGAGGGACAGTCACCTCCCCATCCCTGCCTGCCACCCCTCTTCTGAAGGATCTCAGGATACTATTGGCCTTCTGTGCTGCAAGAGCACACCTCTGGTTCATGATCAGTTTTTCATCCACCAGGATCCCAAAGTCCTTCTCTGCAGGGCTACCCTCAAGGAGTTCTTCTCCCAGTCTGTATATATATCTGGGACTACTCCAACCCAAGTGTGAAAGTTTGCACTTTGCTACGTTGAACCTCATTAAGTTCACGCAGGCTCACCTTTGAAGTTTGTTGAGGTCCTGGATGGTGTCCATTCCATCTGTGTCAACCACAGCACTTGGCTTGATGCCCAAGGGAGCAATTTTCAAAATTGAAAAAAAAAAAAAAACTATAATTGATCCAAGAAGGGTGATTGAAGGATCCATCCACTGTATTCTAGAGATGTTTGCATGTGGCTGGGAAGAGCCCAGTGATATTGTTACATAACATTGCAGAAAAGCTTACAAATCAAATTCATAATATAATTCTCAACAGGGATGTATCATTTTGGTGATGTAATATACATCTTTGGCTGTGAAAGTGAAACTTACTAAGTAAGTTAAGAGTTTTAAGTGCAGCAATGAAATTTAGAGTTCTTGCAAGAGACATTTAATGCTATGTTCTCTGTAACATGCAATCATGAAGTTAATCTGTCTACCAGAAGAAGAAAACTAAAATGTATGGAACTCAACATTACAAGTTAGTGTTGCAGATCCAGCATGAATGTAAGAATACCAGCACAATTTTACTACAGGAATGATTCAGCTAGCAACTGCTGTGTAATTTACTGGTGCAAATTACTAGACTTCATCATTATGTAATAATCAAATTTCCCTTCACTTAAAATTTATTAGTGTTTGTTTTGGCAGTTTGTTTTTTTGTTTGTTTGTTTGTTGTTGTTTTTTATATTTCTCTATTTTACACAAGATAATTACATATCTGACTGTCTCTGGGGTGAAGTCCGCAGTTTTCTCCAACACAACTTGGCTCCACTGTGATCTCTACAGTACTTCGCGTGCTATTTGCTCGTAATCTCTGTATGCTGATGAGTGAGCATGTCCCCTTGCACGGCTGCTGGATCGATGTGAGCGGGCTCGTGCATTGCACGAAGGGCTCTGCCGTACGGCAGTTCGGTGGTCCCGTTCTGCTTCCGGATCGGTTTTGGGCCGAGACACGAGAGACATCACTCCGCCTCGCGCTCTTGCCTAGGATCTCCCCGACGGCTGCATCGGGAACCTGCGCGGGCGGCTGCAGCGAAGACGCTTCGCTTTGCGGCGTCCCAGAGGCGCAAGCGAGTTCCTCGCCGCGGCCCGGCTGGCTCTCGCGGGGGGCTACGCCAGGCCGCGCCGTCACGCTATGACTCAGCCCCGGGCGAGGGGTGCATGAGTACGGGAGAACGGCTCCACCCGGACCGGCGGGGGTGAGCGCGCAGGAGCGAGAGCAGCGCGGGTCCTTCTGGGCCCCGCAGGGCGGAGCACGTGGTTCCGCAGCCGCTCGCAGGGCGTCCCGCGGCCGTAGCGCTGCCCAAGGCACTCGAATCCCAACTACGGCCGCCACCGCCTTCCCCAGCGGCAGGTGGCAGGAGCGGGCGGCCCCGACTTTCCTCCCTCTGCGGCAGCGGAGGCCGTAGCGGAGCCGGCACAGAGGTACTCGGAGTAGCTGCTGCTGTTGGTGATGCAGAGTTAGCTCGGGAGGGGCGCGAGGGCTCCCCTTCTGCTCTCGTATCCGCACGAGGCTCCGACGGCAGCAGCGCTGCTGCAGTGGGAAAGGCGAAGTCGCGGAGCGGTGAACGTGGGGCGCGGAGAAGGGTGCGCTGCTGCCGAGACGTTCGTCAGTTGGTTCTGCCGCGCGGTAAGTAAGGGCTTCTGTCTTTAGGTTCCTATACGGGATTCTATAATGTGCACCACTTGGAAAAGGGGCTCGTTTACCAGGAGCAAGGCTATTTTTTTAGTTAAAGAAACAGCAAATAAGAAAGGTGATAGTCCTGTTTTGGGGATACTGTTGCTAACATCTGAACGGTATGTTTTAAATATTTGATAATCATAAAAGACAAATTTTTAATATATATATCTCTGTTCGAAGAAACTCCAAGTGTGGGAGTGTAATTTTACATTTAGAGAATGCATAACTTATTGAGAGAACAGTTTCAGTGTGTTGTGGTTAACCCTGATAGGCAGCAAAGCCCCCCGCAGATGCACTGTTACCACATCTCCACCCTCCCCCGGCAGAGGATACAGAAGTGGAAAGGTAAAAATGAGAAAACATGGGCTTAGCCATGTTAAAGGCAGTGTTACGGATAAAGCAAAACTTCCTGAATAACCAATAAGGAATTCATTTGCTACTTCCCATCATAAAGCTACTGTTTAGCCATTTGCAGGAAAGCAGGGCTTCATCATGAGTAACAGTTACTTGGGAAAACAAACGCTATAACTGTGTTCTCCCCTCTGGTCTGCTTTGGGGCAGCCATCCCAGCTGTCTTTACTCCACATTTCTCGTACACCTCCAACTGACTGCTCACAGATGCCCAAGGTGAGAATCAGGAAAGGCCTCATCTCTGTGTCAGCGCTGTTCATGAGTAACTAAAACATTTTGTTACCAACACTGTTCCAGTCACAAATCTTATTTGCTACAATGAAGAAAATTAAATCTCTCCCAGCCAATACTGATACAGATTATAAGTTGAAGTGACAATATTAAATGTTGTTGTGAAACTTTTGCTGGTCTGTTTCTGTCCAAGATTGCAAAGCCTATTTGTTTACAAAATGAGAAATTGGTGGTTTTTTTTTGTTTTACAGCAGAGTGTTTATGTGTGTTCCAAGAAAGGTGTGGCTAGGGAAAGGTCATGTTGCAAACTAAGTAGATGATATTGGCTTCTTTGTATTTAGGAAAGAAATAACCGGTTTAATTGTTATAGAACAATATTTTACCAGCAATTAAACACCAGTAATTAAATAATTTAAACCTTCAAAAATTATGCTTCTGCCTTTGATTCATGTAAAAGAGGGAGAACACTGGCATTTCAAAGAGAAGAATTTAAACTATCATCAGATAGTTATAAAAAAAATAAAAAAATAAAAAAAAATGAAAATCTTGTTCAAGATGTTTGTCAATCTTTGAAACTTATTTCAATTTAAACACCAGTGTTTTGTGCCATTGCTTTTGGCAAAGCTATAAAGCAGAGAAGAGAGAATGCTATTTATGACAAATAATAAATTAATAAGGCTTTTCACTAATGGTGGACTTGTTTTAGGTAGATCCCAGATACACAAATGTTAGAATGTGTAGTGTTGCTGTTCTGTTAATTCTACTGCTACTTTTTGGAGTCTGAAGTTTTGTAATCACCTCTATCAACTGACCCTTTGGAATGCATTTGTTTTGCCCTGACCCACCCTAAGGCTGGAAGGTAGAGGAATAAGGTGAAATTTATTAGAATATATATATAAACATGTATATAGCATGTATATATTAGTGTGTGTGCATATATATATATATATATATATATGTATATATATATAGACAATGTAGACGTTGTGAAAATACTGAGATGAGCAGCATAAACTGTCTTCAGCTGTCTCAACACTGTACTGAACAAACTACAATGGAAAGATACAGTGCCAAGGAGATGTGGAGAAAAATGAATAATGACCTGTGAATGAATGGCTCTTGAACTAAATTAGCACTTTGCTTTGCTTGTTAATTGTGGGATGTATACGAAAGATGATGGAAGAGTAGATCTGAAAATAGAAGTTGTACTGCAAAGGTAAAAACAGCACTCCATTTGAAGGCCAATGCTGAATAATTCCCATCCCAAAATTTTAAGATGAGATAGTGAAGGACCAATGACAGATGTTTAATAAGTGTGTTGTGATAGTAGTGGTACAGCATGTGATAGAAAGCATATGAGTAATTCATTTGTTTATGAAAGGAAAAAAAAAAAAAGATTGAGATGTATGGGAATTCTAAAGCCACATACAGGGCTTTAGAAATTTTTAGAAGGACTGCAAAAAACAAAAACAGAAAAAAAACAAAAACAAACAAACAAAAAGCATTAACTCAATTGACAAGAAATCTTTATTATGAGCTTGCAACAAAGGACAAGCTCAAATGCATCTGACCAATGTTATGCATATGCAAAAAGTATAAATCTTAGCATATATTTAAAAAGAACATTTCCAGTAACTGTAAAGTTTTTTCACTGTCACTTGCAAATATTTCTGATCACCTGTGCTAGAGACTAACTGAAACTTGGCCATTTGCACAAAAGCAATTGGTCAGGAGTGTTTCTTGTAAGATATTGGAACATCCTGTATTGCTTGATGAAAAAGTAATAAAAATGAAGACTGAAAGGAGATATGACTGCAGTCCATTAATGCAGGAGGGAGGAAGAAAGGCTTTTTACTCTTAGTAGCAATACTGAAGAAGAACTAACTGTTGCAAAGCAGTTATAATGATATCATTAGATTGATTTAGTATTAAAGCAAATCTGAATCGTATTATATTTGAATTGTAACTGGAATTAAAGCACTAAGCCTGAATGAATTATTAAAACAAAATAAAGTCTTTCAAATATGCTGGCAGCATATTTTTGAGGTTTTGAGGTACCAAGTACTCTCTATACTGAGGAAGTATAAATGTACTGTTCCTTGTTAATCTGACATTATATATTTCCTGACTAGATTTCTCTGCTGTTAATTTCAGGAGACGCAAATTCATGAATCGCGTGTCAGGAGGACCATTAATGTCATTTACAAAATAGCTAGGTATTTATTTTCTTCAGCATTCAGTTTTCTGGGGTGTCTTGAGTTCTTTGTTCAGTTCTTTGTCTTTGCTTTTGGAATCTGTTGTTGTTTTGAGATGTCTCTCACACTTCCTCATCAGAACATGTAATTACCTACCTCAATTGAGCTGATAGAATGTTACAGAAAGAGAAACGTGCATTACTGAAAACAAACAAACAAAAAAGCACAAACATATATTTAAAAAGTTATTTTCAAATATGCATGTGAACTGCAGGATTAAATTTCCAGAAGAAAACTTACCGAAGTAGCACTAAAATACCCCACCCAAGTGCCTAGTTTGATTTGCTTGAACAACTCCATATTCAAGTTTGTAATGTAAATGAAATTCTTGGGAGGCAGCTGTGTTCTTTGCGTAAGAGAAGTAAAACTTGTTTCTCAGGTAGGTGTGGTTACTATTACGCACATTACAGAACACCAACCATTTGAAATAGAAGGTACTGGCAAGTGTCTTAGGTATTGTACTAGGATTGTTTTTCCCTCAATATTGTACTATTTTGAACAATTCTTGCTCTTTATCTTAGAGGAAAAAAAAAAAAAAAACCTTGTCTGTCTGCTTTAAAAGATGCTTTCTCTTTCACATGTTCACTTTTTGAAGCACAGTTGAAAAGATGCCTTTCTGTTGTTCATTATTTATAGCCACCAAATGCAAGAGAAATAACAGGTAATAAATTAGTTGTGTATTTTTATTGGTGATATGTTGTGATATTTATTTAGTAAAAACTAATTAGCATGTAAGACTGATCAGTATGTTAAGTAATGACATAGTCAAGAAAAATGTTAAATGTTAAGTATGATTTCTGATGCTTCTGACAGTTCTTATCTGAACTTTCTCTGAATATATTAAAGGATGCTAGAAATAATATCATCCTTGGCAAATGAGGCTTTTTAAGTGTTACATTGTAAGCATAGTTCTCTTTGCTTTGATTTTTGAGGAAAGAACAACTGGGCAAATATTTCACATCATTCTAAAGACTTGGTCAAATATTGTTTTCCTATTTAGGAAATTCAGAATCTAGGTTGCAATATTTAGAAGTGAGATTATTATTTTTTTTTTTTTTTCTGGTTGAAAACTACTGAAGCAGGAAACCAGACTCTATGAGATTTTTTTTTTCAAGCCAAACAGTTAAGTTGCCAGTGATTGCAGGCACTTCCAAAGGTGTGAAGCTGCTTAGTATGATAACTTAATCAAAACTATGGATTAAGGTGTTTAGGTACTTTATTGTTCTTTTTCTTACTTTTCTTTAAATGTGTTAGTATTCTGTTCCATTACAAAGCAGTATTGAGATAGATGCTCTCAAAACAGCATTAGGCGATGTGTGGAATGTGGGGGGGAAAAAAAAGATATGAATTATTAGGTTTAATTATTATTTTACAATTGCCTGAGCAATGTGCTTTGGAAAAAAAAGCACTGTTAGAGATCTAACATACATACAGTCAGAAAATACAGGAGTGCAAAAAATGTAAGTGGTTTTTATTATGATGCCTTGGAAAAGAATGGAGGAGGGATTAAAAAAAAAAAATAAGAGAATCTTCCAAAATCTACTATACCTGTGGCAATGCTACTTTTTTTTCCCCATGGAAATCTAGGTCTTTTAATGGTGCATTTTGTTGTTTGTTTTTCTCAGCAGCTGTTTCTTTTTCATGCCCGTTAGAAACATTCTCTTCATCTTGTGCAACAGAATCAATTTATTCCATCTTCGTAATTTACCCTAATCTTCCTGCTGGAAGTCAGGGATAACTTTCTTCCACCTGTTTTCTGATCTAACTTCAATTTGAATTAATATGGGGCATGCTTCTTCCAAGAATCATTGTGGTACATGCAGGTCTTTAAAGAGACTGCTGCCACCTTAACTTTTATGGATCACATCTGAATTACTAATGATGAATTTGTATAGGAAACTTTTGTTTCAGCTTCTTTGGCAGAAATAACTAGTTGATAGTGCTATGGGCTACCTGTCAGATGTTAACAGCTGTTAACAAATGAGTGCTGCCAAGAACTTTGGCCTTATAGGTGCTCAGAAATGCCTCTGTTCCCATAGCAGTGGAAGTCCAAGAGCTGATGAACTAATTCTGCATGCATTCCATTTATTTGTCTGCCCCACGTTTGTAGGTAAGTCTGGTTCACTTTTGTTTGTATATAATTTACATAAACTCTATTTGAAAAAAATGTTATTAATTTTGGTTTAAAAATTGCTCCCTGATTATTTGATTGAATGTCCTAAAATATTTGTTATAAAACATATATATATGTATTCTTATTCTATTTTATATCAATCTCTGTAATATTCTCTTACAGTACTTAAAGAACCTTCAAGTTGCAGAAATTATTACACGCATCTGGCATATTCAGTGTCGCAGACAGTGTCATCCATCCCATTACAAACACTATGTACATCATTATTATTTTTTCATGAAAGCACAGTAGCTGGATCTTTGATTAAGTCACTTTGAAGTGACAGAGATGTTTCCCATAGCTTTTTTTCAAGTCTGTAATATCTCTTATTTAACATGTTCTTTCCTACAGATGCAGCAGCGCAAACTGCAAGGACAAAGACATTTGCATCCATATTTAGATACATTCAAAATGTTGTGTGGCAGAAAAAAATCCTACTTCGCTGGTGCTGTGTGCATTATAACACTAACATCAATGGTCACGTTTTCTTATCTTAGATTACAGAGACTTATTCACCTGCCAAAAATAGTACAAGAAGGTAGTAGGTGTAGAGGGGAAACTGCAAATAGCACAATAACACCCTTAAAGGATAACAGAACTTTTATCATCTCCCCATACTTTGATGATAGAGAAGGCAAAGTCACACGTGTGATTGGGATTGTTCACCATGAAGATGTCAAAGAACTATACTGCTGGTTTTGTTGTCAGCCCCTTGGAAAGATATACATATCAAAGGCAGAAATAGATGTTCACTCGGACAGATTTGGATTCCCCTATGGTGCTGCAGATATAGTTTGCTTGGAACCTGGAAACTGTGATCCAACACACGTATCAATTCATCAGTCTCCACATGGAGATATTGACCAGCTATCGAGGTTTGAAATAAAAAACCGCAAAGCAGAGCCCTTCTCTGCTGACTTTACAGTATGCATCTCTGCCATGTTTGGAAATTACAACAATGTCTTACAGTTTATACAGAGTATGGAAATGTACAAGATTCTTGGGGCACAGAAAGTGGTGATCTACAAGAACAACTGCAGCCAGATGATGGAGAAAGTCCTGAAGTTTTATTTGGAAGAAGGAACAGTAGAGGTAATTCCGTGGCCAATAAACTCATATCTCAAGGTTTCTCCTAAATGGCGCTTCATGCAAGATGAAACACACATTGGCTACTATGGACAAATCACAGCTCTAAATGACTGTATATACCGCAACATGCAGAGGAGCAGGTTTGTGGTTCTTAATGATGCTGATGAAATAATTCTTCCCCTTAAGCACTCAGACTGGAAAACAATGATGAGCAGTCTTCAGGAGCAAAATCCAGGAACTGGTGTTTTTCTCTTTGAGAACCATATCTTTCCAGAAACAATTACCACTCCCATGTTCAACATTTCATCTTGGAACACTGTGCCAGGTATTAACATACTACAGCATGTTCACAGAGAGCCTGACAGGAAAGAGGTAATCAATCCTAAGAAAATGATAGTTGATCCAAGAAAGGTGATTCAGACTTCAGTCCACTCTGTCCTACGTGCTTATGGGATGAGTGTGAATGTTCCAATGGATGTTGCCCTCGTTTATCACTGTCGCGTGCCCCTTCAAAGTAACCTTCCCAGAGAATCTCTCATCAGGGATACGACATTGTGGATATATAACTCATCATTAATCATGAATGTTAACAAAGTTCTCTATCAAACAGTACTGTAAGCTCAAAAGTGAAACTTTGTCCACAAAAATCAAAGGTGGGGAGTTGCCTGTGCCCCAGGGAGGCATAGGATATCATTCAAAGATCACATTAAAATCTCTT